GAAATAAATAATTATTATGAAATTTTACAAAAGAATATGCAAAAGATGTGAAGTAATTAAAATAAACAAAATAGGAAATGAAATGGTAATTGAGAAATTAAATTGTTATAGTAATAGTGTATGATTTTAATTGTGTATTAAGAAGAGGTTTTTCCATTTCAATATAGATACCTTCCTTAATTTTGAGCTCATACTTGGAGGAAGCTCTGTCAATAATGGAAAAGCAATCAAGATTTGTTGAGTTTTTGCATTTTTGTGATAAATTGAGATGTTTGTAAATGTGGGAAGCCTTATCTGAATTTAAATGTTCTGAAACCCTTGTTGTGTAGTGTCTGGTGGTTTCACCAATGTATCCAGCATTACAGGCGGAACATGTACTATTATCAAAAAAACCCTTACATTTTCTTAAAAATTTCTTGTGTTGTGGGTCTACTAAATCATCATCTTTTTTAAGTAATTTTGAAATTGATGGGATCATTCAATATTCTTTAAACTCCCTAGTAATTTTTTTCTAGTTTAAAACACTTTTCTTTGCCAAGTTCTAAAATAATTGATCAATTGTCTCTTTCTTTCTTTTTTAAATTTTATACATTTTTTTTTTTTGTTTTTTTAGAAGCTGGTTTGCGTACATAAAAGTTAGCACATTGCATAAGCTTTTTCCTAAATAAGCTGAATCTTTGTTGCTCTTTTAATTGATGGTTATACAACTGTTGTAAAAATCGGTCAAAAAATACTATGAGCTGATCCAAGAAAAATACTGACAGGATGAAACTACAATGTTTCCTGACTCCAAAAATGATTAATTTGAAATCTAACTACTTTGTCCAAGGAAATAATCTTGATTTTTAGTTTTTAGCTTTTTGCACAATAGAGTGAAATAAAACCTTTTCAAATTTTTTCCAAAAACACTCTAAAAGTAGAAATTATAACTCTAAACATAACAATTTACATATAAATTAAAAACATGGTTTATTCTGCCTCAATTGATACAAAAAAGATAAAGGTAGTTATTAATTTTTTTTTTTAGTTTTCTTTTAGTCATTTTTGAAACACTTTAAAAGCCTCTTGTTTCATAACATATTAAGAGCAAATGCTTTCTGTTGTAATCCAAAACACATGAATGGTGTAATCCACATGGCAAACTCTTTGCTTATCTCTGCTAGTAAGCTGAAATGATGATGCATTGATTCTGTTGCTTGCTCACTAAAGTTCCCCAAGAGAGCCCCTTAGGTGCTATAAACTCCAAGATTAGTTTGTTTTAAGATCCAGATAGCAATGGCTCATAGACCACATTGTCAAAAGACCATGCTTCTTGGTATCACAGCCAGACTTAACAAACTCAGTAACTTGCAACAAGTGAGCCTAGTGTTCTCAAAAATTCTGACTATGAGAGATGCTTTGATTTTATGTTGCTCCAGAGGGTGAGTACTTGCATACCTCTGAAATCTAAAAATGATGTTGACATATTTCACATGATACATGAGACAACAAAGTTGACTTTGTTTAAAGTAATAAGGGACAAATTCTACATCACATTTTAAAAGTTTTCTGGTAGTCCTTCTGAAATAGCCCCAGGGCTTGACACTTGCTGTTTTTGGTTATAAAAGTTTTTTATTAACCTCAAATCACAAGTTGTGTAAATCCAGCTCAATAATGCCAAGAGAGACTTTAGTTTCCAATTTGAATATATGGTTCTGGAAAACTTTTTGAGAAAGGAGGGCTTCATTCAGAAGCTGGGTAAGATTCTTGCAATACACAACCACATTATTAGTGGAGTAGCTGCTGCTCTTTGATAAAGCTGATTTTCTGGTTTGGGTAAAACACTCAGACAATTGGTTGCCAATAGCTTCAAACTTAGCTTAAAAATCTTAGTGTCATTGTCTCTGTTGATGGTTGATGCCATTTTCTTAATGCCAAGGTTTGACCGTCCTGTATTTTAGCTATATTGTATAAGATTTTCAATTGTTTTTTTGTTGGTTTGAGGAAAACGTTTTCTGATACTTGAGCCTCCTAAAAATGTAAACATGTTTAATACCTTTTTAATATAAATTTTGAGTTTTACTATAAAAAGTATTACCTGTCTCAAAGTGGTAGGGATGCAAATAAGCTACTTTCTGAAATTCGTCAATGCAACATTTTTTAGTTTATTAAAACTGTTAAATACATTAAGAGAAATAGTTTGCAAAAAAAAAATTTTTTTATTTTTAAACAGAAAATCCATAATGGTGGAAAGTTTGTTAATTTTGACCCTTACAAATGATGTTTTTAAAACATGGTATCTTGATAAAGCAAAAGCAAAATTGAAAATCCTTTTGTCAATATGTATATTATTATATTATACTCCGGATGACCCTTAGGATTTTGCATGAATTCTTTTACTCTAAGAGTTATTTAAGTTTTTGTGAAAATACTACTTTTTTTCAACAAATATTCATACAAATTTTCACCTAAACTTAATTTTCTTAAGATAATAAGTGTTTTATGTAAAATCCATGGGTCATCCGGAGTATTAGATCATATTAAACACAAATTGAAAATTTCAAGTCAAATGCTCAACTCTATCTCGAGTTATCATGTTTTGAGTTATTGCAAGTATGCAAAAAATTGAAAACAGAGAAAAATGCAAAACAAAAATAAAAAGTTAAAAAAATAAGTATAAATAAATAATCTCCTCAGTAAGCACCAGTTTGATATGAATCTACAGATTCTTTTTCATTCATTTTATCAAAAAATCCTTTTTTTCTGGCTTGCAATCTTTTTCTATGCTTTTTCTCTGCAGTCGTGAACTTCTTTTCCATTTGCTTAATGCGTGAATTATCTAAATTTGTTGCAGTTGCCTTTGAAATTTGCCCTTTTAAACCAAAGTGTTCTAAGACCTTCAATATTCCTTTGCGTCCATCATTAAAATGAATAATAGCTGAATTTACACCCATTTCTATGGTTTCTCTGCCAACAAATCAGTTTTTGGTAACCTTGACCATATGAGTCCATTTAGGGCCTCATTTGCATTCTGGGTTTTTCCATGCACACACTTTTTTAACAAATCTTCATCCATTAAATCCTTAAAAATCGGTAGAAGAAGACTCTTTATCTAAAAAGGGATTGTATTGGAGGGTTTATAATCCTTTTGGCCCTTGGACCAGTACTTGCACCAACGGTTGGTATCTCGAGGGCAAAATTTATGACGCTCAGCGGATCATTTGTGTTTGTGAAATGAAACAGTATTGCATATATGGCTTTTTTCATAGCATAAACATTGGAAAGGTTTGATCTAATTGCCATACCATAATAATTTTCCATGGACTTCAAGTTCGTGATAGAGGAAAATTTCTGCATAGATGAAAATCCACAACCTATTTTCCGAAAACCAATTACAGCTCGGGCATTTACATCAAATGTTTTGCGACCTCTAAAATCACTTTTTAGATTGTACGAAGTCTTAGGAGATGTATAAAAAGGTTTCATCCAATCACATATTGAACATTTTATAAGAATACAATGTGCAAAACCCATTCGCTTTAAATGTTGATCAATAACAACAACGTTAGCAGCACAATCAGGACATGGTATAAGTTCACGACAAATATTTGCTAACACATTAAAGTGAAGAAATAAGAAAAAGTCTTCAATATTATCAACCAAACCCTCTGAGTTATACTGATCAACAGTATAAGAAATCTTTTTTGCTGAGGTTGATTGAAGGGATTCACCAATAACACAAGGTGTCACAGTAAACTTTGGTCGTTTTGAAACAATACCATTCCATTTTCTTTTTTTGCTTCGAGAAATTTTTTTTTTACTTTTTGATGTGTTCTTTGTATTCTTATTTTTACTACTATCTTCATGAAATTCCATTGTATTAATTATTAAAACAATCTAAATTCAAAGACATACAGTTCTCTAAAGAACAAATTTTTGTAAATAACATAAATTATAAAATGTTCAATCAGCTTATTTATCTGAGTAACGTTTGTGACTTCAAAATATGATATTTAGACCGCTAAAGATTGCACATCCTTGTGAATGTACTGAGGCACATATTAAGGTAGGAAAATAAAGAATAAACTTCTGTTTACGGTAACTAGGTACGTTGCTATGGACTCTGATGTTACTTCACAGTGTTTTAAAGTGTAAATATGGACCAAGAAATATTTTTTATTGTTCCCAATGTTAATTGCATGAAAATAGACATATCAAAGGGTGAAAATCTACCATAAAAAAAAATTTCACTAATTTTTTTTTTTGATCATTATTTGCATCCTTACCACCTTAACTCTAAGATGTGGTACATATTTTGGATGTGATTTTTTGACAGTACTGCAGTTTGCAGATTTTTACAGTGCATCCAGGAGTTGCAGGTTTGGTAGAGATGACTTAAGTTGCAATTTGTTCTGCAATAATTGGATCTGTTAGCTGCTTGAGATTCTCTTTAATTTGAATGGAGTACACTGATATGGTAGACCATCTTTCAACAAAATTTAAGCAATCACCATATCATTGGGGAAAACAGTCTTCTTCATGTTTAAAATAGTCCACTAAGCTCTTATCATTCAGCATTAAATGTCCTACATGGCAAATGACATAGTCACTGCCTTGATCTCTTGTTGCTGATTTGACTTTTATAAATAAGAAAGCAAACTAAGTTGGCTGGATATTAATTGACAGCTTTTTAAATTTTGCAGAATGCAAAATTCAAAAAACTGTCATTTCGTTCTATTTTTCAAAATGCTAAAAACAAAAAATTAAGATTATTTCTGCAATCAGGGATTGTTACTGAGCTTCAGTGACAATCCCTAATTGCAGCAAATTTTATTGACATCGCCAGTGACAGATCATTCTTTTAATAATATAAATAAATATTAAAAGAATTATCATGCTTTTAGCAATCATTCTATTGAATTATTTATTTTTTATTTTTTCTATTAAATTATTTTATTTTTGAATTAATAATCATTCTTTTAATATATATATGTTTTATTTTTATTTTATTTTTATATTAGGCTTTTATGTTTGAAACATATCTTGGTTTGGGCTTAACAGAATGGGGCGAAAATACATGCAAAAAAAGAGATGAAAGTTATTACAAATGTTGGGAAGATCTTAAATCTCATTTCACAGAACTTCGTGTGTAGACATCACAAAAAATTTTATGAGGAAGCTTTATATCTTTTTTTTTTCTAAAAAAAATTATACATATTTCTCTTTTTTTTACAAGTTTTGTTTTAAAACTTATTTTTTTTAAATCAAATTTTTACTATGGCATTTTGGTGAAGAATTTTTCTATTATGTATTTTTTTTATAATTAAATTTCTTAAAATATATTTCTGTTTTTTTTGTTTGTTTGTTTTTGTTTTTAAAATTTATTTAGGTGCAGTGCAGGGAAAGGCGCAATCTTAAATTCTACACGCTTTGACTAAGTATTTTAGTTTGGACTTTTCTCGATAAATGTTTATCTCATCCAAAATTTATGTATGAATGCATTTTTACTACGCCTATCCATGAATAATTTAACTAATTTATGTACAACTAATACGTTTAATAAATTCAAATGTGAAGTAAAAAATTTATAGAGGCATTCAAAACTTAGTACCATAACACGGTACTTAAATCTACTTCGTTGTGATTTTTGGTTTTAACGTTTAATCAATTCTATTTTAATGTTCTATTCAAAATATTTTAAGGTTCTATTCAAAATATTTTTTTCAAGTTATTTTATTCAAATCGTTAATAAAGATATCAACTTTTAATTCAAGCTAATAGGTTTAAAAAATAAATTAAAAATCAAATATATTTTTTGATTTATTTTTAAATATTCACTCGGTAGGCGTTTCTTCAAGCCGGTAGGTGTAAATATTCAACTCGGTAGGTGTTTCTTGCTATTTACTTAAGTAAATGCATCGATAATGTTAAAAATAATTATTTAAATTTTATTTTAGGAAATACTATTAGTATTAGAGATATTACGTTTAATTATTTTTCGTTTCTGAGGTGGTTTTTTTAGGGTATTTATTTTTCGTTTATGAGGTGCTTCTTTTAGTGTATTTTTGACTAGTATAACTTTTGAGTCATTACAGATTCTTTTTCCTGGTTTAATTTCTTTTTGCGTCCTAAGATTGAATGTTCGAGGTTTGCACGTTACTTAAATGGCTGATTAATACTTTGGGAATAAGACTTATCAACAGATGTAAGTCTTGCTGGCCTAAAAAAGGCAACATCTAGAGGCTGTGTTAAATGTAATAAGTTGTGATTTGTATGTGGTAAACATACAAATACAATATCATCTTTTTATACAGTTAATAAGGCATTCTAATTAATTTCTGATGACAAATTATCAAAATCTTTAACCAACTAAGCTATCCAGCCACCTTTAAGTCGTAAAAACTCTTTAGACAGTATAATAGTTTTGATAACATGTCTTACAAAAAATGTTAACATTAATCAAATGTTAAGTAACGTTTTTTTGTATGACATGTTATCAAAACTGTTAGCAGAATAGATATTTTATAAATGACAGTACAGGAAAAAATATTTTTGAAGTTGTGGCAGTTACGTTTACTGAAGCAGAGTTCGGTTTACCTTTCCAAAAATATGAAAAAACAGAATGAAACGTTAAGTAAAAAATTAAATTTTGAATAACTAAAGAACTGCAAGGTAGTTCAATTTGTCTGTAGGTTCCATGCCAAACCGATCCCGAATTGATAAACTCACTGTTGTTGTGATGTATATTTCACTAGATGATATGCTTTCTGGACATTCTTTAGTTTTTTTAGAAATGGGTAGCTACACAAGAAAAAATATGGAAAGAAAGTGTACATAGCACAACTCCTATACAAATAAAAACAAATTTTAGCTAGAGTCAAGGCCAATATGGTGATGGTGCTAATATGTCTGGAAAATATAAGAGTAACTAAAAGTGTATACCTTTTTAATTACGCTTGTATTTTATATTATTACTTGTAATAATATAAAAAAGCAAAACAAGTTATCAAGTCAACAACATCTTGAAAAAATGTAGGAGTTTAACTTTACTGTTATGTTATACTTGTGGAGTTATTTACCTGATGAACCTAAAACTATCAGTTAACCCCTGCAAGACTCCTAGATAAATCTAAGTTTATGTAAGAATTTGTATGCTTCACTTTTGGATTTTAGTAAAGGCTCCCAGGATATGTTTGATTATTTTAAAGAAAAGGTAAAAGAAAAATTGACTAATATTTTATTTTCAAGAAAATAAAAGATAAAAAAATATATTAATAATGATAAATGTAATGTTTTATAGAAACTTGAGTCAAGATACAGGCTCAGAATACAAACTTACTCAAAATAAAATATATGATTTATGACTTCAAAAAGGGTTTTTTTTTTTTTTAGCAAAATTAAAAGCAACAAAATAGAAGGACTTTATCTCAAACATATCCTGAAGATATGGAAATAAATTTGGTAAGAAAAACCAAACAAGCAACAACATTGATTCAAAATAAATTAGGTTTTCTCAATCTCATTTGTAAAAATTGACAAAGTACGTAGCTTATTATTTGTCATCAGTGAATTTGTTCAGACAGAGGCAAAAAAGAAAATGATTTAGTATCTTAATCTTCAGAAAAATTTTCAAGAGATATTATGATAAGACTTTGTAAATTGTGCTTTATAAAAGAATTTTTGATTTATCAGAGTTTGCATTTTTAAGTTTGTAATGAATAAAAATTATTTAAAGTTTATGATTTAACATTATATTTTTAATTATGCTTCAGTTTAACTCTGTGAGGTAACCAAAATTCATATTTAGCCCGGACTTTAAATATTTTTCCATAAAAGACCTTTCTCAAATGAAATTTAAAAAAATAGTGGCGTTTTAGCTAATACTTTTTATGTTAATAAAAATCTCAAACGAAATTTAAAAAAATAGCGGCGTTTTAGCTAATACTTTTTATGTTAATGTCAAAAATTATTATTTGTTATGGAATAAAAGTGTTTATTTGGTTGATTTGTGTCATGAAATAAATTCCAGTATTTGACTTAGTGTATAGCCAATAAACCAATCTGCTGCTTTCATATTGAAATTTGATTGATCATATTTCCCGCGAGAGTATTGATAATATATTTTTTTATAGTTAGATTTGGGTTAATGTTAACGAAAAAAGATAGTAAATTATAATGAGTGTTTCCAATAGGTGGCTTGTGATCTATATTGGTAATCATGTTGCAATCTGAAGATATAATGAGATGAATTAATGTTGGTACTTGATTGTTGCAGTGATGAGTTGAATTACAAACATGTAGATGTAGATAAGATCTTTAAAAGTGTCAATGAATA